GACCTTCATGTTATCAGCTTAAAGGAAAGTCATTCCAATTTCAAAGCAGCTACAAACGCTTTCGATTTATTTTACGAATGAAAGGAACCCAAGCACACACCATTGTATAACCCCACCAGTAAGCCAATTAGGCACTGATAGCATTGAGTTAAGTTTAGTAATTCAGTAGAGATCGTCTGTGAAAAAGTTAGGTCGGGTGAGTTAAGTGTCACAGATTCCTGTAGGATACATTTTATCATATAGTACGCTGTGGAATACTCTATGGAACGCGTTACATATTTCAAAATAGAGAATTATAGGTAATTCTGTAGCTCGCGGGTTTGTGCTATGTGGGTTTTGAATCAAAGTATAGCGTCATGTACGACCAATCTGTCGGGAAACCGTATTGTGATTTATAGATATTATTTCCAGTCACAACATTCTCAACGATTCATTTGTTTAGTGACAGGCTTATTTGGGGAGATTTGGAGCGTCTGCGATTATAAAAAGTATCGCGACATTAAGCTATGGTAACACCGAGATTCATGATGTCCTTGTTTACTGGCTTTTCTTTGACAAAATGAACGTCAGTACTCTGGTCATATGGTGATTTCCACAGTATGATTTGCAGATGAAGCCAGTTCGTTCACAGCGTTTTTTGGAATGAAACGAGAACCACTTATACCTGTTGAGGAAGATTTGATAGAAAAGGCTCTTGTCAAACTTTCCTTGCCTAATGAGTCCTCGCAACATTTCTGCCGCCAAGCTGTGTTACAATCCTCTATTGTGGAGGAGCTGTTATGACCTTTGTTGACTGGTTAGGTTTCCACATTTCAGCAAAGCCCCTTTCAAGGTACTATGAGCTTCAGAAATATCACTAGTAAACATATTAAGTGAAGGGCACATATTGGTACTATCGCTGCTGCGGAAAATTACGCGACTGGATTTGTCACGTTATACACGTGGAAGTCAGCTTCTGAGTAACAAAACCAGGCTTAGATATTATTACGTCAGAACAACATGACTTGAAGGTAGGGAGCGCAAGAGTCTCGACCTTTAATGTTTTGAGTGTCTGTTCAGTTGTATTAGAGATAAAAATTATAAATGGGCGAGAGGGTGTAGAAAACGAAAACAATACGATATTTAAAAATAAAAGCTGATATCTAAGGTTATAACAAGGTACAAACTCATTGGTTGTCGTTCGGTGTACCAGATCAAGTTGGGCTCATCGCGATGGATGTAACTATTCCCATCAACTGAATATCGTGGACATACGAGACTAGATATACTGAATGTGGATTTATTTTGATTTACGGAAATATTCTTCCAAATTATAGTATATCATAAGACGATAATTCTCTGAATATTAATTATTTTATCGAGACCTTTGGTAACAATATCCTGATAAACTCCAGCACTTTGAAGATCGCTGCATACGTTAATCATCACATTCGGAAAACTGTTGAACAACACTTCAAACCAAATGGAAGGTGGCTGTACTTGAATCAGCCAAAAGGAATGTTAATCGTCTCCAATATTGAAGGTGGATCAAAGGGAATCTCAAGATAAGTGCCAAGTAAATCATCTTTATAGAACACTTTGGAACCACGAATTCGACTAGGGGTACTTCGAGCCTGAGGTATGATGTATATGTGCTTCAGCAAACAAGAGTTATATGTTAACTTATAATCATGACATATGAAAGCAGATTTCAAAAGTATGACAATACGAGTACCCCACTCTGAAGACTGAAACAGTTAAAATATTCTTTCGTCGATCATCATTCAACGCCCTGTGCGCTGCTTCTCTATGACCGTAAGGGATTATTTATCTTTCAAGGAAGGCTAGATCACTCTATGATTGAAGTTCTGTAGACTAGATTACCATCACCCTACTGTACTTAGTGCATGCAGCTCTTAAAATACCGAATTTAGTCCTTTCCAAAATCATTTAAATCTAGCATTCACAGTCCATTTATACATAGCAAAAACTAACAAAATATGAATGAGGAATTATCGCCCTATGATAATTAGAACTAATCAAATCCGTGTACTAGGAATTACTAGCAAAATCCATTTACAGACAGACAGGAACTAGATAAATACAAGTGAATGTATTATATATAGAATTAGCCACGGAATAAAGTACAATGGAAGCATCAATTAGTACAAACACCACGCCCCTCCAATAAGCGATTCCTTGAGTCCCCATATCGTCAGTTTGCGTTCGGTAATCACTATAACTGAGATTGTAGTCTTACGAACAGGTTTTCTGGTGAAACAATGGATTTAATATTTCCTGTCAGCAACAAAGTCGTGGAATAAGCAAGTGGAGGTACGTAGTCATTTTTGAATGTGAAAATTACTTTTCGAAATGGTGGATCAAGATAATCTACGATCACCAGATCCATACATTTGACTAACACCTGTAGTACGAGGTTTATTATCACTGGCAGTGAAATGAATAGAAGTACCACTCACCGACTTCGTATCTTAACATGCTTGAAGAATTTAGTATGACGAAATATACACAATTTCTGAGAATGAAGCTTACGACAGGATGAACATTTACCAAAGTTATGTCCATCTATACGTGATGCTTGGAAACTCTTCACTGGCTCGCGATGCTTCCACGAGAATGGGAAAAAGCCAATAATCTCAGGCGAACTTGAGCGACGTTTACAATATAATCCATTGATAGTTGAATGGAGTATTGGGAATTGCCACTAACTGGAGATAAAGCTCATCCACACTCTTACAAATGATACAAGCTTTTTTAATTTCCTGAGATGAGCTTTGGAATCAACTCTTTCTCCAAATTCAGGACGCTAATGTAATAAATAGTAGTGGAGCTGAATATTATATACTAACTGGCAATTCCATGAAGTCTAATTTGTGATCTAGTAGTTACCAAATAAACCAGTATCCAAGTCAGAAAGAAAGCTGTGAGCACACTGTGTTGCATTTTATAGTTCAAATTAAGTATGGAATAATGTAGAGGCATTACTAATCAACACATACACTGTGACTATTCGGGTAGTTACATGCGCTATTATGTAGCGCATTTAATGCATGGTAGCATACTTTCAACTGACTTACTGAGAATACTAAGTTGCAGTTATGGGAGTCAAATAAATGGGGGTTGTGCTTCACAACTTTAAATATAAAGAGATCAAGGTGTCACACAATTTCCAGCCCCCTCTTCTAAAATCTCAACACGTCTTTTAAAGTCAACGGAAGTCCTGCTCTAAAACTTTATGAAGGAGACCGTTTCTCTCGTCAGACTTGCATTTTAACTTAAATTCCGTAGAAGTCAAGGAATACACACAGTTAGGTTGCTTAACTATGTTGGTGTGACTGAAGTTGCGATATCAAGTTTATTTACACGGGATAAAAGTGATTAGCTAATGAAGGAGACCGTTTCTCTCGTCAGACTTGCATTTTAACTTAAATTCCGTAGAAGTCAAGGAATACACACAGTTAGGTTGCTTAACTATGTTGGTGTGACTGAAGTTGCGATATCAAGTTTATTTACACGGGATAAAAGTGATTAGCTAATTTCGCTTCAAGATAATCAATTGATGGGATCCATACAGGCTCCAACACTCAGTGTCTGATTCGACTTTATGCAATGAAAACTACAGGATATCCAGTTAATCGTTTCTCGATAAAGTGGTTAAATAGAACAATATTATGCTAGCATTTATTGCAAAATCTATTATTTAAGGTTTAATAATACAACAGAAAATCCAAAATGAGATAAGACCAAGGACAGGACTTGAAGGTTACTACTGTGATAGGATTCCTCCCTTATCTGTTTCCTTTTCTATGTACACTGAAAACCTGGCGCCAGTAAAACTACAACACGCCAGATTTTAAATCCAACTTATATTTTCCATATTATCTTTATTTACTAAAAAAGTAACTTCAAATGAAACCATTTTACATAAAATTGTTTTGAATGTAATGAATGGACTACCTTTACGTAGATATAAGGATTTCTTTGTACTTTTAAATAACTACCGTGCTTTGGTACGTCATAACCTACAGAATATTGAAGTTATTTCTACTGAAAACAACTGTTTATTCATTATTTGTATTTTATTAAACCGGTTAACTTGATGTACTTAAGTACAACCTTGATCATAGTTCTATTTAGCCTACAATTATTGATTACCAAAAACAGAACAAGATACCGCTAGTACGTTCAAAAGAATATATTCGGTAAACAACTAATAATGGAGATATAGACTAACGGCAAGACTACATGTCTGCCTTCCGTGGAATTCTAATTTCATGCACAAATGATCAATTAATATAATCCTTGAAAGTGTATGTTCCTTTGGTGATTGATGTGTTCTTTTCCTTAATACAAGGTTAGTCATTTGTTCATAATTCACGGTTGTAATTTATAGCTTTTCTGTTAGGAAAGACATGGAGTATTGGTTGCAAAAAAGCCTAATTCCATAGGATCCCTTGGTAATAAATGTTCATAAGGTATGTATCATCTCAATACTGAACAATGAAATTTGACTTAAAGTAACTCTGGGTATGACGCCATAAAGTCAGGAGAAATTACCGAATTCATAATACCGCGCTTGCTCGACAAACCAATCGTCATAACTCATCAATAGTTACTGGACAATAATGTTATACCTAATGACTCTTAGCAATGATCGAGTTTCTTGTTATTGCACACGATCATAAAGCTAATTTACTAAACGTGCTGTACTTCGTATTTATTTAAGAAAAATGATGACTACTAGCTAAGTGTTAGTTGTCGTATCAGTTACACTGTTTTTATGAGGGCCGTTCGAAACAAGGCAGACTGGATTCGGCTCCCACCTATTACCCCGCAGAAAGTTGTGCGTTTTAGTTACTTGGATATCCAACAAGTAAATACACTGTTATACTTCGAAAACTTCTTTGCATCAATGATTGCTTATCTTTTAATAACTAACTATAGTATAGGAAGTGTCGAGCTGATTAGCGTAATCGAATGAAAGTCCTGGTTTTAAAATTTCTACCCAGGAACGAAACACATAACTCTGAGGTACCTCACATTCCATAAAGGATTTAAAAACACAAATTAGTGAAGATTTTGTTGCGAGCGGACCCAATCCCTTAGTGGTGATAAATATTAACTCACATGGTTACTATAGTTCAAAATCTATTGATAAAGCGTACCTTTACATCGTATCCTCCAAAATTAAACGGACATTCTACTTTAAAACATTTGAATATTGTAGCTTTCAATAAAGAAGAGCATAAGGATTGGGACAAGCTATTTAAAAAACATATCGGTGTTTTCTTTTTATGACAAGTTGTTGCACCGAAACTTTCACAATGTCTCGAAGATTGAATCAGATATGAGTTAAATTATAATTACCCCTCTGGGACTAAATTATCGGCTTGGTGCATTTATTTGAAGTACCTAGCAAAATTTAGACTCAATATTATTATACATAGAATGATTTGAAATTTGTCTGATAAGATCGAATAATAACCGTCTGATTTAACTGAATATGGAACTGGAAGAGACTTTAACGATTACCATTCATCAATATGTAGCTTTTAAAGTAAAAGGCATTTTTAGAAAATAATTTTATTCGTATTTCTTGGGAATGCTATTGTATCTCGAATGTTAGCTATCCCCAAAACAAACTGCATAAGGCGCTCAAAGCCAAGACCAAAACCACCATGAGGAACACTACCAGTACCACGTAAATTAATGTACCAATCCGACTGATTGGACTTCATGCGTGTTTGTAAGCGAGAAGCAACATTCTCACGGACGCTGGCCCCAACTAGTTCACCGATCCCTGGAAATAACAAATCAGCACACTCAGCTTTAATACCGTCAACTGACTGACAGTAAAATGGTTTAAGTTCCATGGGAAAATGAGTAATAAAGACAGGACGATTCCCTCCAACCCAATCTAGGATTCTGTGCTCCTCTTTTTTGTTCAAATCCCGAGGTTTTGAGGTAGTAAGATCAACTGTATCCATTTCTTTATCCAAGTACTCCATAGCTTCAGAATAAGAAATGTGAATAAACGGTTGTTTCAGCATTGTTTCCAAAACATCTCTTAGCCCCAGAGCAGAATCAATTAGCAAACGTTTGCAATGACTATCAGATTCAGATTGATTACCAAGGAATGTTCGAATCAACACTAAATCATTCTGAAAAGTAAGAAAATCGAAAGATCAGAAAATGAGAATCAACGAAAAATCAGCCCTGAAAAAAGGAGTTCCTTAAAAATCTTAAAGCCTTCTTTTTGAACTGCATAAAGTTTCTGAGTCAAGTGTGTATATCAGTATAAATTGATGAAAAATTGCGATAAAATTTTGTACATCTCGAACTGATCAGTCCAAAGCATGAACAAAATCATGAGTATATCCTTATCTTAGGGACGGAAACATTTAAAATTAGGAAAAAAACGAAGAAGCATAGATGTAGAAATGAAAATTTATTCGATGTTTCTAAGGTTAACACAACAACTGATTATTATCAAAAATTATAACTAAGGTAAGAAATTAACATTTAGTTTCTTACATATCATTCACAATTTATAGTCACGGTTCAATCTTTCTGTCTAGAGGAAAATAACATGAAATAAAGAAAGGGTACACGGCTGTTTACATTAGCAAATCTATAATCAAGAGACTAAGTTTTACTATTACGTAATGCATATATATATATATATATATATATATACTGCAGCCAACCTAACAGGTTTCTTAAATTTCCCTATATCTTACATTTGTATTACACTACAGTTAGTTTTATGTACTTAGTTTCACTCAAATTACACTTTAAAATAAATATATTCACACATTTAGAATTTTCCGTTAAAAGGCCATCGAAAAGTATTATTAAATTTAAAAGTGTGCTAGTCGATTCAACTTTATACCGACAATTAAACAGGTGCTATTCCTGAAGATGAAGTAAACCATCACATTTTATATGGGAAAGACAATAAAAGCCATAAGGAATTATACTATGTAAGGGGAATTTATATAAAATATGACTGAATAAATGATAGCCGAAGTATACTTCACAGAAGCATAAGACACATCGATAGTAAACTTATTCGTACATATTTTATTCAGATTAAAACTCATAGAAATCAAGCATTTTAACAACCGAACTCTGATTATGTATAGATTATTTGGAGAGACTACAATTTATGGATGTACCAGTCAAACCTAGGATAACAAGTATTGGATTCTGGTGAGAATTTATTTATACATTTGGCTCTTTCCAAATTTATTGCACTGGATTATACTCCTTCAATAACGTCTTCAAACCCCAATCTTTCACATAATGCTTATAATCTTACTACTTCTACCACTATGGGATTTGAATCGACAACTGCATTTCTGTGCTAATGTGGTGTGGCAACTCGAACTGATGTACGTACGTACGAAGTTCTACGTTGTGACTGACTGACTGAAATGGCGTTTTGTCACTTTAGCTGATGTTAGTTCGTAATGAAAACCCTAAATCTAACTCCTAACCCTAATTATCAACCGTAAATCATAATCCTAAGACATCACACTGGTTTATAACCATCATGCAGCTATAGTAAGTAGGTGAAAATTCTCAAGATCACTTTAGCGTCGCTCAAAAGTCGTTCATAAATTGAAGTCTCACCGATTACTTTTCACTATGAAAATTACCACTTCCGCTGAAGAATATCAAGTTCATTCAAATAATGCAAAGACAAACCTGGTTGTCGAGTAGAACTGATATTTAATGTGTACTTTTAAAGAGCCATATATGTAGCACAGTAAAATTCCAGGCAATAACGTTTTTTTCAAACAAAGTACAGGTTGTTCCTACTGAGCTTTGAGTCATACAGTAAATATGAAAGTTAGTAACCAGTATTACCTGGTTATCCGAACGAAATGGGCAGCATCATTGATGAACACGGTGGATCAGATGCAGATGTGAAGGTGCGGATCGACAAAGCAAGAGCAGCATATCTAGGACTGAAGAACATCTGGGACTCAAAACAATTGTCAACCAACACCAAGATCAGAATTTTCAATACAAATGTTAAGACAGTTCCACTGTACGGCGCGGAAACCTGGAGGACTACGAAAGCCATCATCCAAAAGATACGAGTGTTTATTAACAGTTGTCTACGCAACATACTTCGGATCCGATGGCTAGACACTATCAGCAATAAGTTACTGTGGGAGACAACAAACCAGATTCCAGCGGCGGAAGAAATCAGGAAGTAGCGTTGGAAGTGGATAGGACACATATTGAGGAAAGCACCCAATTGCGTCACAAGGCAAGTCCTCACATGGAATCTTCAAGGCCAAAGGAGGAGTGGAAGACCAAAGAACGCATTACGCCGAGAAATGGAGACAGACATGGAAAGAATGAACAAAAGTTGGATAGAACTAGAAAGGAAGGCCCAGGACAGAGTGAGTTGGAGAATGCTGGTCGGCGGCCTATGCTCCAGTGGGAGTAACAGGCGTAAGTAATCCAAACGAAAGGTTTACAGGATTCAAAGTCACAAAGTTCTAGACGATAACCGAATGATTTTCTCCCCAAGCTACAAGTTATAAAAGTTAATTTTAGTACTTATTCATTGAATATAAACTTGCAACATTGAATTTCGTATAAAAACTAACTTTAAATATGCATTAAATCCATCAAAAATTATACATTTTATAAGTTAGTAATTAACTGTCATTAATGATCATGAAATTTAAAAAAAAGAAGAAACAAATACTTTTCAAAAAATACTGTGAATTCCATTGTTAAAGAAAAATAAAGCCATGTGAATTTAATTCTTTCATACAAAATCCACAAAATAACCAAAATATCTCCAATTTAAACAAAAGAAAAGAAGAAACTATACCATATCATGTAAATCAATGATAATAAGCTTTGAGTAGTAGATAATGAGACTATACAATCACATGAAATTGTAAAATATATTAATCTACAAACTGGATCAAGTAAACTCTGTTGCTCTTTTTATCTCCCTTATCTTAAAATATTTAATGATTATAGAATTAGTATAAGGCATGTGGGATATGGTAAACATTTGTTCTACGGGAATAAAATACTACTAATACTACTAGTAGTAGTAGTAGTACTACTACTAATGATAATATTAATAATAATATTATCATTATTACTTGACTACAGAAATTATACCAAAGCATAAAACAAACGGATACTACATATTCCTGTTAGAAACTTACATATTTACAAATGCCTAAAACTTTAAGTACAAAAACATACACAAGTATGCAAACTGTGTGTTGGATAAACAAAAATGTAACTAATAACTAATGTAACAATAAAAAAGAATGAATGAAATAAATGTAAATGGTAGAAAATTTCTATAAAACAGATTAAAATATACAAAAAGCTTATTAGAACAAAACTACTTCATTATTAAACATTTGAAAATGATCAGTAATAAATGTTAAACATTAATTCATATAGATTAATTTGATAATAATTGATAAGTCTTGCTAATTGAACACTATATTCAGATCCTAAGCTAGTCTCGTAACCCTCAAGCTAAATATACACAGCGAGTTGAATACGAGAAAAAAGGCGCAAAATATGCGAGTCCTTGGGTTTTCCTGAAAATTTTAGAATGCCACTAAACATAGTAGCAATGTAGGAATCAGCCAATCAGAAATTCTACATGTGACTTTTTATTTTCGTAATGTTTCTAGGATAATTTCTAGTCAAAAGCTGATCGGATAAAATGCTTCTTAATGTTTCCTGAGCCTTTTTTGTCTATTGCGAGTTTTCAGGATCGCCCCAACAATAATAATAAAGGAATTTGAATAGCATTTACGTTTCATTAGAATAAATCCATCAGAGGTCGAATAAAAATAAAAGATTGTTTTAACTTCTTATAGTGTACACGGTTATGGTCATTCAAGGACACACCAATAATAATAACACTCAAGGTTATTCACAGAAACGAAGAACAATAAAGGTAAGTGAACAATTAATAGATAAATCCAGACTGGTAAAGTATGTAACGAAATAATTAGTTACTGGCAAGTAAATTACACAGGAATTGTTATATACATGCTAAACACCTTCTGAGATCATTATTATTATTAGCTTTATTCAATATTATATCTTTGGTACAATATAGAATTCTTAGCACAAAGTACTTCAACAAGTTTCCGTTTCTTACTTCTTCGTCCTTCCTGACGATAAATATTGAGTGATCGCCAGTTAGAACTTAGCAACCCAGTCAATCGACATCTGGATAATGTACATTCTTCTCGCTGCATATTGCCAGCAACCACGATATCTCTGATTAAGCCTTCTGTAACTTTTACAGCGAAAGGTCTTACACTTTTCAGAAACGCACCTGAATAGGTTGTGCGATTAATAGGCATAATGATGCATTAAAACAAACGAAATTGGATAACTTGTTGAAATATCTAGATGACAGGAATAGGTAACCCAGATGTTTAAACAGGCCGCCATGTATATATATGAAACAAGAAAACCTTGTGATGTATGGAATCACTATTTCCTTAAGAAATTCAAATCATGTTATTTGAAAATGATGTTATACAGACTAAAGCCGAACATTATAGAATAAGTCTTACTCCATTCACGATTAAGTTAACTAAATAAACCAGGCATAGAGGAGTAAACAAATCCGTGTTCACTCCATTCAACAGAATTGTTCGACATTTTGAAATGTCCATCACAGCAACGCAAATTCTAGAAGAGAAAAGTACTCCATAGTTAATCAAAGTATGTTCACAAGTTCACTGAATGAATCAGAATTATCCAGTTGGTAAAAAATAAAAATAGATCTACTTATACGTATTTAGCAACAGAAACTGCTATCAATAGTTCCAACCAAAAATGGTGACCAGCACAAATGATCGGAAATTAATAAGTACACTTAGATCTATACATCATCAAAAGATTATGTGATCTGACAAGGAAATGCTTTACTTTATAACCATGGTATAACTAATCTTCATTGAATTAAATATTTTCATTGGATTGTCGGACAGAAGGAATGTTGAATATTAAAATTGTTTTATTTCGAAAACGGTTTCTGAAAAAAATCATGAACTTAAAGGACTGTACGTTACCAACACAATCTAATACGTTCATAGATTTGCTGAGTCTCACACTACCATCTTACAAACCACTTACCTGACCTTGTTTCAGCATCACAAAAAAGTATACCAGAAATAAGTAACTCAACTGGACAGTCATAAAATACAACCTCAGCTACTACATCAAGGTAACAGTTACAGTTGTAATATTGTTGGCTGGTATTTCATTTATTCCCAATTATTAATCATAAACAAATATTTAGTTTTACTGACTGAATAATAAGATTGAACTCAATAGTTTAAACTGCCCAGGAAATTGAACAATAATTCTTTGAAAAAGATTTCTTTAAACTATTCAACTATGTGTTTTAGTACTAGGCGTCAATTTTTATTTGTTGTGTGTATGTGTGGAATACAGCTAAAGTAGGAAGTCATGAATTATTCACTTTTTACTTAATTTAGTTGAAACCAGTAAAGCATAGCGCTACTAATAAATCTTACCTTAAAAAAAAACATATTACTAGTAGTAATAATAGAAGGAATATAATAAAAAAAAACAAAGAATACATATATGTGTATATATAATTATTAATCACAAATCAAAATAGATTTTATGCATACCAAAAGTGAAATGACCTAATGCAACTTAAAAATTATCACAAATCTATTGGGTTGAGAACAATAAGGTAACCAAGAAATTTTCAAAGGTGTTTTTGTACTAAAAACAATAGAAAGTACACAATAATATAAATCTTGTTTGTAGGTATCATTACCAAGTCTTGATTTGATAATTTTGAATAAATTGAGCATTGGGTAGATTGTTTTAAATAAATAATATATTTGTAATATCCCAATGGGTAGAAAAATTAAATTTTCTGACGTTTCGTAACTCAGTGTAACTACTACAAAGAAGAGTAGCTGAAGCTTTCCATATAATGCTTAATCCCACAGCTCTCAATAGAAAGGAAGGCCTTTCCATACAGCCTACTTGGACCATCTATCCTAGTCACTCAGTCTGATATTATTTACAATTTCAAACCATTACATTACAAATCAAACTCTATCCTTTGTAATTATAAAGGTCACACAGTTTTCATTATTAACAGTGCATACATACACACAAAATTACATACATGTCGCTTATGAATCACCTTGACCGAAATGAAATGACGTGACAGTGATTTATTCAGATCTGTTTTTGATTGATCACCTAATTTTTCTATTCATTGGGATATTACAAATATATTATTTATTTAAAATAAATCTTGTTTGTTGAATGGGAAACAATTGTTTGTATATAAATTTGTTGGATAAAAAATGAATGGTTTTAGTAACTGAATGGTTAAACAATGGTGTCAGTGATTCTTTTTTATTATGGTCGAGAATTTTCGTTAGAATGTTCTAAATTAAGATGAAATTAAACATTCAGAATACAAAAACAATTCAGGATTCAAAGTTGAAATCATGAGTCAATTGAAGTTATACCACCATGGAAAACCTGGGATCACTGGACGGCCGTTTCGTCCCATTATGGGACTCTTCGGCAGTGCGCATCCACGATCCCGCACTCGAGAGATTCGAACCAAGGACCAAACAGTCTCGCGCCAGAGCACTTAACTGATAGACCACTGAGCTTCAATTGACTCATGATTTCAACGGTGAAAAAAATACTGAAATCTCCACAAAACCCCCTCTGGTTATAAACATATGCTCACTAGTGGCTGACTTCAAGATATATGTCCTGGAGTTCTAGTGGGAAGCAGTGACCAGTGGAGTTCAACCACGTCTGTTGTGAGATAACAACTCAATGAAGACAATTGGTGAACGGTTGTTCAAACATTGTGGATTGGTTGAAGCTAGACATTAACACCGTTGGAGGCCGGCTCAGTAGTCTATTGGTTAAGTGCTCCGGCGCGAGATTGGTAGGTCCTTGGTTCGAATCTCGCGAGTGCGAGATCGTGGATGCGCACTGCTGAGGAGTCCCATAATGGGACGAAACGGCCGTCCAGTGCTTCTAGGTTTTCCATAGTGGTCTAGCTTCAATTGACTCATGATTTCAACTGGGAAAAAAGATACTGAAATCTCCACAAAACCCCTTCTGATCAAGATTCAAACATAATCTCTGTCTGTAAAGCAAAACTACTAAACCTTAACCATAAACAACTTAAATTGAAAAATCACTTAACTGTTAAAGTTTGTAAGAAATAAATTACTTTAAAACAGAAAATTTTCAATATATAAACACCAAATATTCATAAATTTGATAAATAATACATACGGAGAAAATTAATTTACTTGTAAAGCATTGAGTTCATTACATTCTGAGATAGGATAAATTTCTAAACATTCAATTAAAATCTTTTTAATTAGCATTTCAATTTCTCTACATAATGAATCAAGATTATCTAAGTAAATTGACTCTGCTTCAAGCATATAAAATTCTGCAAGATGATATCTGGTATTTGAATTCTCAGCTCGAAATGTTGGATTCAATGTATAAACCTATTTGTTTTGAATATAAAGAAAAATAAAATAATAAAACAACCATTGAGTGTATAATAAAGAAAAAGTACTTATTTTTAAAATATTTGTAATTCTAGATAACGTAACAGGTAGCATTATGGATCTTTGTTGGATAAAGTGTTAAACTACTGTATTTAATAAGACCTTGTCAGTTTAATTGAGCCGTGAAGGAGGACAAATCTCCACCAATCACACATCAACTTATCTTGCAAACTAACTAAAGTTTGAAAACCTAATCATTAAATTTCAGTTGATTATTTGATTGATAAATTGCTGGTCAAATGAGACAATGATAGCAGATTCGGAGAAATATAAAATCAAAGACTTATACTAGGGAGATCTCTAGTTCTGGTCAACCGGATGATCTTATGCTATGATGAAAGTTTTTTCTAAAAAAATAGGCTGCTCACGACAATTGTTGTTTATTTACATAACCTAAATGGTGAAAACTTTAACATGAATCGCGAAACAGCTTTTCAGTGTTCATGCAAAAAAGCCCACGGTAAAAACTATGGAGAGCATCCATGGAAAGCAACTACCAAGCAATAATTAGCTTACTCAACTGATATTAATGTAGGTCGACCAGTGTTGTCACACTATATCAGTAGAGCGAGATAAAGTTATTAAGATGAATAACAAGCTAGAAGTAGTATCACTGATCAAAAAGTGGTAAGAATAGGGAGGGATGAATCCATGGAATAAAATGTATAAATTAATTTTAAAATCATAATCTACGGATAGACAAAATGTCGAATATTTCACGTCTCACCATCTTATGTTTCCAACTATCCATTAAAATAATCGTGTAGAATTTGTTTGACATGACCAAACCGTTGCTGCTACCTTGACTTGGCAGTAGGGCTTGCCTATCGTATGTGCCCCCAAATGCCCTGGTACGGACGAGAGTGGAGAGAGTCACCTCTCCCTCTCGAAATGCTCTCATATGGCCAGCGAATATATAGCTTCTGTCAGGGAAGTCCTACTCACTGCCTTCTCGTGGCACCGGTATTGTTTACGAATGTGAGAGGACGAAAAGCGAATGTCCGGCGCTTTAACCGGGTTGATGGACATGGAAAGTTCACCTAGGGGAGTTGGAAAACCCTGATTCCAAACCAATGGTGCACATGGGCTCCAGTATCCTGAGGGAACAAATGGCGTACGAATCAACCGTTGATCACCGGCTACCATGGGACTGCATCTCCTCACGATGCTTCACTGCCTTGTGAATCAGATCTTTCGGTCAAAGGCTCGTCGAGTGGCCCCTTAACAAAACCACCTGCTTCAGTCTGGGCACCTGAGCAGTATCACAGCCCTCACACAAATCGAATGAGATTTGTGAGGCGCATATTTATCTGGTGCTTCCTTGTACCAATATTTATGTGTTTAAATAAATAAATAAATAAACTATCGTAACGAACCAATTCAGTTATATTGGCTAGAACAATCGTTCCTCAAGGTCCTACCATGCCAGACAGGTCGGCTGAAGAGCGGTAAGATTAAAAGCAGCAAACCCAAGGTCCGAAAACGAAGTCGTACTGCTGACTGGACAGAGGTGTGATGGCAGTAAGGTGTCTCCTTCAGATAACCAGCATAACAGCGATGCTGTCTTCACACAAGGAGGGGTAGGGTTAGAAAAGGTCGACTCTAAAAGATGCACATTTTGCCTTATCCCACGAATATCCGTCTCTGGCAGTAAGGTCTCCATAAGTACGGAGCTAACACGAAAATGGCCCACAAAAAGGTCGTGTGTGACCTCAAACAGTTTTCCCTTGGGCACTGCGGTCACGCAGTGCCAAAAACATGACGAATAATGTGGAATCCGAATTTCTTTAGAATATTGATAACAGCTTGATTGAGAGTATCATGTTGGTACTATGTAAATCACTGGTTGGGATAAGATCACTAGACAAGCTCATATCTTAATTTAAAATCTTGAATTTACTTCTCTCTCCTTATATATATATATATATATATATATATATATATATATATATTTCGAGATGGAGATTTGTAGCTTAGGTGGATGATTTTGATGGAGTTTTGTTCTCTGAGCTGGATAGACCAAATCAACGTATAACAACAAGATTAAAATGTGACAAAATAGAAAGTGTAAGTTTTATTTACCTTACTTAAACCTAAAGCAAGAGATTCCAAATGCATTTGAGCACTACCGGTTAAATATACACTTGAACTATCAGATTCCCTAGTCTCATTAAGTGCAGGTGCTTGAACTTCGAACATCTGACCAGTACCTTCACAATCTGTTGAAGTGAGGATTGGAGTATCAACCTGAAATGTAGAAATGTTACTTTAAAAAGAATAAAAAGATACTGAGCAAAACTTTTGAGATTTTCTGTACAATTCAAACTTGAAAATTAATGACCCCATGCACTGATTTAACATTATTAAGGGACCAAACGGAAATCCCACCACAAAAATTACAAGTAGACTTATAACATCAAGATAGATTTCGACAACTGAGCATATCAACACAAGTGTTATACTGCATTAACTGGAAAGAACTTGACAAATTTATCCTTCCCAAATACTGAGTTTATGTAATTTCGCAACAAGTAATTTATCGGATAAGCAAATGAATTATTCACTAAGTTTGAGCGTCAATCTACAGGAAAGCATAGTAAGTCTCATCCTTTAAATGTAGAAATTTACATAGGTTAGTGTAGACAAAAAAGTGACTAAAAGGATGCTCTCTAAAAATTATTAAACGCATAAGATGATTGATTTACAAATCCCTGAGTCGTTTAGCAAGCACTACACATCATTAATTAATACACATCATTAATAGTAACAACTGATCAACATTAAAACTAAATAACTAAGAAAAAGAGAGAAAAAACACGGAAAGCAAGTTAGTGAGGATAAACAAATAAATAAATATCAAAATAAGACGAATGAAACTAAGAGTAAGGTAATGTTTAAGGAGTTATACAATGCTGACATGAATTTCATTTTTAAGTTGTTTACAAACACTTAGTGTTCATTAAATTCATCCAGCTTTAAATAAGTTAATTTATCAATCACGTTGGTTATAATCTACGTACAGTCTGGAACAAATGTATGTTGATTTTACCTACCATTATCAACTCACCACAAGGAGATAAAATCAGCAAGATAGATAGCAAAGTCTTCTAAATAAATGTAGTATCAGCCATAATGAGAAAAAATAAACACTGAGAATATCGTTCGAGAAGGAATGCAAACACTTATGTATAAAATACCACGTGAAACTCAATACCTAAAAGAAGATAAGGAGTGGATGCATCTCCGCCACAGTGAAAGATTCTGAGTTATATTAACCGACGTCTTCAATTACTGATCACGGTTATCTCAGCAATACTTATGACTTAATATTACCAGACACCGATATAAAGATTGCTCTGAAGACGTTCATCAGAAGAATAGATGTAAGGAAGCTTAGAAATATTATGTTACTTATTATTAACCAGTCACTTTTGATCATCACAAATACAAGCTAATTATTATTGTGGTTACAAAGCTTACACTAAATTATTATTTGTATATAATTAGGTGTACCCATTGGCTTCTCAACTTGTGCTTTTTAAGTCCCAAGAAACCTTGGTTAACTATGATCGATGTTTTTTTTGGAATCAAGAACGAATGTACACATTGACAAAACACATACACACGAACATGTTAGACCACCAATGAAAACCTAAAGGTAATGAACGGCCGTTTCGTTCTAATATGGACCTCCCAAACAGTAAACATAGACAACTGTGTACGCGGGGTCGCGCAACATCTTGAACTGACTGAGCTTAAACTTAAACACAGCTGTATGCCGGCTCACTGGTCTAAAGGTTAAACGTTTGTGCTGGAGACCGAATATCCTAAGTTCTACTACTAGGATTGGTTGTCTAACATTGATGGGCTCATGATTTCAATGAAATTCAACAATCCCCATAACCCAACACTTGAAATTTTTCAATCATTTGAGTGTACTTCATAAAATAAGGTAATCGATCTACAATAATTAATTCAACAGTTAAATGAATTAGAACGCATAATAAGTAGAAGCTTCATATTTTTAAGAAATAAATCCCTCCCACCCGGGTATAAAATTCACACATTTTGCCGGCGTCAGTAACTTCACCTGTAGCCCTTCTAGGCTTACTGGCGATCCCAAACTCGGATCAAGGAGATGGGTTAGGTACAGTGTTAGTAAACCCATCCCGTAAAAAAAACCTTCCTGAAAATACCGTTCAAACTATTTTTAAACCCTGTCCTGGGAGTTCAAGAATCCTTATTTAAAACAACAATGATGGCCCATGGTGAAGGCCGAGACTCTTCGGAAGCCACGAGGCCGATGTTCCTTCTGAGAAACAGAGCAACTATTAATATGTGTACATAGTATGTCCGGACAATGTGAGAGACTGAGAGGACTAGTCAAATAGCTAAGGAAATGATAAGATACAACTTGACAGTTCTCTGAATAAGCAAAACCCCTTGAAAGCAAGCTGGACATAAAGGATTAGATTTACAAGGTGTTGTACTCCGGTCATGAAGAAAATGCTTTGCATACACAAGGAGTTGCACTGATACTGCCCAGAGAAGCACAAAACAATCTGTAAGATGGGAATCTCATGAATCCAGAATCATCAAATCAATCTAAAAAAACAAACAATGAATGTTATCTAATGCTATGCACCCATCGATGACAGCGATGAAGACAATAAAGACCAGTTTCATCAGAAGCTGCAGCCGACCGCAGAGAAGCACTAAGAAAACGACTTGACCATCTTGATGATAGACATAAACGAAAATGGTGAGAGATTCGCAAATTTATGTGTCTTCAACAAAATGGTTATAGGTGGAACTATGTTCCCCGTAAGCGCATACAAAAAGTTAGATGGGTTTCACTGGGTCACACCACTGAGAACCAGATAGATCATATTTGCATTACTAAAAAGATAAGAAGGCAATTATAGACGTGAGAACAAAGTGACGAGTTGAACTAGCTTCAGATCACCACCAACTGGTGATTGCCAAGATGAAACTAAATCTGAAGAAACACTGGACAACTGGAGAAACAGCATTACAAAGGTTCAATACAGCCTACCTTCGAGATACTGACAAACTCAACCTATTCAAGATAACTCTCAACAATAGGTTCCAAGCCTTACAAGATCTATTTTAACGGAGAAAAAACTACTATGGAAGACAAATGGAAGGGGATCAAGAAGCACTAACTTCAATGTGTTAGGAGGTGCTGGGCCACAACAAACATCATCCTAGGAAATGGATCTCCATCGAAACCCTGGACAAGATTCAAGAAATGAACAACAAGAAGACAGCAATTAACAACAGATGAACAAGAACAGAGAAAGTCGGAGCACATTCTGAGCACACAGAAGCAAACAAGCAAGTGAAGAAAAGCATTAGAATGGACAAGCAGAAATATGTGGAAGACCCAGCAATGGTAGCGGAAAAAACTGCAACAGAAAGAAATATGAAACAACTATATGACACAACGAACAAACTGGAAGGGAAATATGGTAAACTAGAAAGACCGGACAAGGACAAAGAAGACAAACCAACCATTGAGATTCTGGAACAGAATAACAGATGGGTAAAACACTTTGAGGAACTCTTGAATAGGCCATCTCCACTGAATCCACTAGATATCGAAGCAGCACACACAGACCTTCCCATAGATGTCACTCCACCAACGATCGAATAAATCAGCATAACCAACAGACAAATCAAAAGTGGGAAAGCAGCAGGACCACACAGCATACCAACTGAAGTCAGATATGAAAGTAACTGCAGAGATGCTCCACGTTCTACCCATTAAGATTTTGAAAAAAACGAGTGTCACTGACAGACTAGACAAAATGATACCTCGTTAAAATACCAAAGAAAGATCTGAGCAAATGTGAGAACTACTGAGGGATCACACTACTATCAGTACCAGGAATGCTTTTCAACAGAGTATTGCTGAACCAAACGGACTTCGCAAGTGACTTAGTTTTTTATCGAATACATACCAATAAATGCAGATGAAAACAGCGAGTACCAACCAAATCACATTTTATGGAGAAACTCTCGAATTTGTGGAACATATAGAACTCAAAACAATTGTCAGATAATGTCAAAATTTTTAATACAAACGTCAAGACAGTTCTATTATACGGAGCTGAAACTTGGAGAGCTAACCATCATCAAAAATGTACAAGTATTCAAAAACGGTTGTTTACGCAAGATACTCAATTTCCATTGACCAGACACCGTCAACAACAACCTACTACGGCAGCGAAGAAACAAAATTCCAGGTGAAGAGAAAAGTATGAAAAAAAGCTAGTGGTGAATAGGACATACATTGTGGAAAACATCACACTACATCACAAGGCAAGCCGTAACTTTGAATCCTGAAAGCAAAGGGTAAAGAGGAAGACTACAGAATGAATTGGGTCAAGAATCGGAGGCAGACTTCAAGAAAATGAATAGCATTTCTCAAGAACTGTATAGGAGATTCAAGTACATAGTTGGTTGGAGAATCCTAGTTGGCGACCAATGCTACAGGCGTAAGTAAGCTGACTTAGTTGAATTCCAAATCTAGCTCTGTTCTTTTATTTGCATGATGTATCTCTACATAAATCAGAAATACTTAACATTCATTAGAACTAAACAGATTATCACAGGAAACTTTTAGAAATTCACTATTTATATTTGTGTTTTGAGGATAACAAACTTACTCTTGTGACTGAGTCACTGTTAGATGATTAAACATTAACAAAAAGAGAATGAAATTACGAAAGAATGAAAAAAAGTTTGATAAGACGGTGAATGATTTTGGAAGATCACATTCAGTCTGCCTAGTCTATTTGCTAAATGCTGTTACATTTAAAGATGCACATAAATAGACAAAGGTTACACAATAAAATACTTGCATACTATGTATAGAACTTTCCAACTAACTAACTAATATTCTCAATTGAAGTCAATGCTCCCAAAAACAGCTGAAATTAACTTCCAATTAGGATATTGGTCATTCAACTAATACAGACAGCAATATAAAATGGTCTGTAACTGCATAGAGTACATTGAGAACTTTGGATTATCAGTATGCCGTGATAATATAATATACTTATTTAAATCTTTATTGTTTGCTACTTGAAAGAACGGAACTCAACTATTTTTATTAACAAATAATGGTCAACTTCAAATAGAATCCAATAAAAGAAATCAATAACACACACACAACCATCGAGAGATATGCATAAATACCAACAACATCATACAAAAGTTTT